GGCATCCGTGCTAAACCCCACATCTGGGGCGAGTCTGGCAGCCGTCCTGGCGCTGTTTGCACCGGGGGTTTCTGGCCTCGTCGTCCTTGTGTGCGTGGTCGATTCTTCCTTGTGGCGAGGGTTCGCCGTCTCGTTTCTGCTCAGCACGGCCCGATGCGACTGGCCCTTTTGGCAGGCATCCGTGCTTTACCCCACATCTGGGACGAGCCCGATGGTCGTCCTGGCGCTGGCTGCACCAGGGACTGTTGGGCTCGTCGTCCTTTTTTGGGTGGTCGAATCTTCTCCTAGTTTAGTTGGCGTACGTTCTCGTTGTGCGCGCGTCCGTCGTGCACGCGTGTCAGGCACCCCACTTCTGGGGGAAGGAGCATGCACACCCAGGGTGCGCGTCTTCTTGTTTCGAGCACGGGGATGACTTCATCCTGACAGTGGCTCGTCTGGTGTTGCTGCGGCCCTTGAGCTTAGGTTCAGGGCCCCAACATCTCTTGTCGCTCGCGTGGGGCACGCGTCATCGTGCAGGGCAGGCCGCCTCCGTTCGGCTCTCTGCAGGGGGAGCGGCCTTGCGCCAGATCCACACGGCCTCGCCCCACCTGCGGGCAAGGCACCGCTCGCTATGCCGACGGTTGTGGACTCTGGATTGTTTGTGAGGACTGTGCGTGACCTAACAAGTTGGTCAACCGTGCACGGCCTCGTCTGGCGCACATCTCGTGCGCGTGTCGGCGAACTGTCGCCGCCCTCGGTCCTGCCCACTGGCTCGCAGAGGGAAAAACATCCCCCCCCCCCCCCCCCCTCCAAATACGGCCTCACCCTGCCCTCCTCTCCAGGCAGGCTCGAAGGCAGGTACCAGACATATCGAACCTCGGGATCCTTCCACAACACCATCAAGGCATAGGGGTCTTCTTTGTTCTTCTTGCCTGGGCCCCATTCGGGGACCAGCCACACTTCTGGCATCCCACGATGAGGGCCCTCGGGCCAGGCACGGAAGTACCACCGTGAGGGCTGGTTTTTGGGCTGTGGTAGTTCCAGGACGGCTGGCCCCCATATGGGAAACCAGTCGGGGTCCCTGTCGGGCGCTGGTGGGGGTGGTGGCAGCTTCGGGGCCCTTGTCACTTGTCCAGGGCTTGACCAGTAATCGCCCAACCAACATCCAGTGGATGGCAAATTCTCCCCAAACCATTCTCCTTCTACGTACTGTGGGTACGGGTCTGGCGCCGCCACCGCGACGTCAAATCTTGGCTGCGCACGCCCGTCGGGACCCCAGTCTATTAGTACCTCCATTCGGCCTTGAACCCCAAAATGATCACCATCATCACCACCTCGGGGGTCACCACTATCACCATCTCGATGGGCACCATCATCACCACTTCGATAGTCACCATCTGGGTCATCACCATGCGTATGTTTACCGTGCTCACCATCCAGATGATCACAATCTGGATGATCAACATCTGGAGGATCACCATTTCGATGGTCACCATCGCGATGGTCACCACCTCGCTGGTCTATAGCTCTGGCGTCGCCATTAGCACCATGCTTGCCATCTCCATCTCTATGGCGACCACCACCACCGTGACCATCATCACAACCATGTCCCTTCCACTTTCTCCTCCTGCCCTTCAGCCCCCTGCTCCTTGTCATCCTCTCCCTCCGCTTCTGCCTCTCTCACCCTCTCTCATATTCTTGCGCTCCCTCTGATGTTCTCTCTCCTCCCCCTGAACCTTCTCCCGCTTCCGCCCCCGCACCCCCCCCGCGCGCTTTCTTTTTTGCGCGGGGCACAGCGACCGCGCCGCGCGCGCTCCCTTAGACGCGGCCCCGTCACCACGGGGCCCCAGCCGTGCCCGCGCTTCGCCTTCCGGTTCCCGCCCATCCATTTCTTCGTCCTCGCAGCCCTCTCTACTTTGGCCCCCGCGCTGCGGCGGCTGCTCTTCCCTCCGAAGAAGATCGAAATATTCTGAGTCTTGTCTGGGACGACCCTCGCGCTCTTCTCGTTCGTGCTGCGGATGGACGGCCAATTCCTGGTCTTGTCCTCGCCTCTGGCATCGAACGGATCGGCCGCGAGCGCCTTGGCCACGCGACGGCTCACCGGACCGAAGTCAAGCGACCCTTCCAGCAGTCTCCCGCTACCGCGGGGCTCTTCACCAGGCATCTTCACCTCGCTCACAGGCCCCACGACGAACATCACCGTGAAGAAAATGTTCTCCTCCTGGAGGCTGCGTTGCTCTCTGGCGCACGGCCTCAGCCGCGTGCTCTGACGCGCTTGCTCGAGAAACTCCACTACCGAAGAGGCGTGGAACTATCCCGCAAGGAATCGGACACCCTTCTGGGCAACGTCACGACTGACGGACTCCCAAACTCCCCGCCCCCCCACGGGGCGTTGCTTCCAACGCTGGTCAATGTTCAAGAAGCCTGTTTTAATGCTGGCCATTTGCTGGGTGACAACCGCGAGCTGGAAGTCGACGATGGCCAACGCGCCAATGCCTCGGTGCAAGTTTTTCGTGACGAGTGCCACATCCGAGACAAAACCCTCGCGACCTGCAAAGAGCATTAGGTGATCTTCGGCGACCAAGTACTGCACTTCTGGGCGCCCTCCGTCATCACGGGGCTCAGCTGGAACCGAAGCGTTTTGCAACATCTGCTTGAGCATTGGCATTTGGTCAGGTTCGTCGACGAGGATCATGGCCAGGTGGGCGCCATGGGTGCAAATATCTTTCGCGACGTCCTCGAGGTCGGCTCCGTCCGACACTTTTACATACAGAACCTGGGCGTTGCCGCCCCCGTTTTCCCCTGCCGCAACCGCGACGCTCGAGTGCGCCGCTCCGCTCTGAAGCGACTTCTGCCAGGAGTCCAGTTGGGGCCAACTTGGGGCGCCGCTGTCCCAGGACCTGCCCCACCAGCCCCGCGGCGGCGGCCATGGCCAACTGGGGCGCCAGCCACTGGCGTGCTGCCAGTGGGCCGCTACGGCGGCTGGCGGGGGTGGCATGACGACGCCGTGGCATTGGGACTCCGCAGACAGGCGCTGCCCAGGAGTGGCGGCGGTTGGACCTTCCTCGTCTGAGCTGTCGTCTTCTTTGCTCGCCTCGGAGCCTTCTGCGCCGGACTCGACGCCAGCACGTCCGAAACGCGGCGTGCCAGGCGCTTGCTCTGCGCCTTTTGCGGCAGACGCCGCTACCGCGGCTTGCGCATTCGCCGCGGCTTCTGCAGGAGGACAGGCGGCTGGCGCTTTCGCCGCGGCTTCTGCAGGAGGACTGGCCTCAGAGCTCGAGTCGTCCTCAGAGGACTCCTGGCTGGAAGCCTCTTCCGGGGATGCTGGCGGTGGCGGTGCCCTTGGCGCTGCATTTAGGGGGCCCTTTGCGGAGCCCTCTGCGTCCGCGTCGTCGGACACCGTCTCCAACGGCGAGCCAAACGGGGAGGGGGAAGACGCGGATGGCGACAATCCCCGCCTCTCTGCCCACTCCCTTTTCCGTGCATTCACCGCCCTGGCGAGCAACTCAGCCTCCAGTGTCGACTCTTCCTCGCTTCTGTCCTTCTTCTTACTCTTCTTGTGCGGTCGCGCCTTCTTTGGCGGGGGTTCCTCGGCCGCTACCGCGGCCTCGCATTTCTTCTTCTTCTTCTCGTTCTTCTCCTTCTTCTCCTTCTTCTCCTTCTGCCTCTCCCTCTCCTTGGCCGCCTCTTCGCTAGCCTTCTCGAGCTCCCTGGCTTTCTTTTTGTCCTTCTTTATGGCTTTCTCGCTGAGCCTTCTTGTCTCTTCCAAGATCGTTCCTTTGAGTTCCTGTCGCAGTTCGCACAGGATGTCTGGCGCCTCCGCGCGGAGCCGGGCAATGAGATCGTCTCTGCGGGACCTCCCAGATGGCTCCTCTCGACGCTCTGGCGGAGGGGCCCTGCTCGACCTTGCCTTCTCCTGCTCGCCCTTCTTGTGGCCTTCTGCTTTGCGAGCGTTTTTTTCTTGTCTGTCCTCAAGCTGCGTCTTGCTTGCTAGCCTCCTCTCCGCTACCGCGGGTTCTTCGGGCCACTCGTCCTCGTCTTCAGCGCCGCCCTCGCGCTTCTGCCCCTCCCGCTCCCTTTTCCTTTGGTGGCGTTCCTTCTCCCGCCCCCTCTTTCTGCCCCGCTTCTCTTGTTCCACTGCTGCCACTCTTCGGCAGTCCACTCCTTTTTGTTCTCGTCTTTTTTCTCGCGTTATTTCTCATCTTCTTTCTCGTCTTGTGTTCTGCGAGCGATGAGTTTCGCCTTGGGCTCCAGCTTCGGTTTATTACCCTTTGGCTGCGGAGGCGGCGTCGGAGCCCTTGGCGGCTGTTCGCCTCCTTCCTCGCCTTGCTGGCTGCCAGCCACCTCCCCGTCCGAACTGCTTACGGGCGACGGCGAATGCGGCAGGTCAGCACGTTTGTCTTTCTTGTTGTAGCCGTCTTCCTTGTCCGACCCGGACACGTCCACTCGCTTCGTCGTTTTCTTTTTTTTTCTTCTTCTTTTTTCTCGGGGCCCCTCGCGGCGCAAACTCCGCCGCCACGAGGGGTGGCGACGAGCAACTTTGAGCCACCGCGGCTGCGCTAGAGAAAGACGGAGCTGCAAGCGAGAGGGGGGCGCTGGGATTGCAGGGGGCGGGCGCAGGATGGGAGAACAGAGCGGAGCACGAGCAGGCGGAAAGAGAAAACGGGGCGAGAGGTTGAGGGAGAGGAGGCGGATGGGGGGGGGAGCAGATCGATGGAAGGATGGGGATACAGGGGCCAGAAAAACTTGACAGGCGAATGTTAACTGGAGCAAAATGAAAGTCATAAGCAAAGAGAGGGGTGAATGCATGAGAGTTTTTCCCCGATCGCCAGGCAAACTCGTGTCGAGGCGATCTCCCCGCCGCCTCGCATCGCTAATCTTCATTGCTCCGCAACCGCAGAGTATGTTATAACTATTTACTTCTTGGGTTTCTTGGGCGCGCGGGCGAGCTGGTCGAAAGCGGTCTGCTTGTCAGGTGTTGTCGTTTTCTTTTGGATGGCTGCCTTGTGCCACATCGCGACGATCTCCTGCCCCGCTTTAACGGCAACCGTGTTGACGATGCATGGCAATGTTACCGCGTACGTGACCACGCAGGCATTAGCGTTGCCTTTGGCCTCTTTCACCCGAGAGAACTCACTGGCGACAACTTGCGTCAGCTTCTCCATCACCATGGCGGCATTCGCCGAATTCATACTCTCTTCCTGCGTCAGCGCGCTTGATGAACCAGAAAGGATGGACTGAATCATTCAATGCCCATTGGTATCCGTCCTGGGTGGCCTTTGGGAGCTTCAGCTCCCGTTGCACACATATCTTCTTGCTGATCTGGTTTCCGACTCCGAGGCCACATTTTGCCTCAGCGGAGGTCACAGGCAAAGACCAGGACACCTCAGCGGCCACAGCCTTGGCGCGCGTCTGGGCGCCCGAAGACCCCATGACCATGGAGGTGTTCCCCTGGAACCACAATGGCACGATCAATCCACCGATGCCGATGTCTGCCGTGGCGCAAGCCTTCACGACGTTTCCGTGCACGGACATGCTGATGGGCATTGTTTCGCACAGCAAATGATGATGCGCAGATGCCATGGTTCGCTCCAAGACGTTCTTCGCAACTTTCTCTTCGTCCATTGCGGCAGACTTCTCAGCCCACGTGTGCCGCGGGATGGTTTTTACTTCGGTTGCCTTCCCCGCAACAGCGGTGGTCTCATGCGATGTCAAGAACGCGCCTTCTGAGTCGTGCTGAATCACCTTAGGCGTCAGTTCCGTCACCGCGGAACT